ATTAGCTAGGAGTTTTCATTCATTCATTTCTATTTTGTACTTAAAGTGATATTCCTTAAGGCATGCTCCATGAACAGTGGCAGCCCAGAAGTGATGGTCTGAATGCTGTCGTTGATGGCAAACACTTAAACTGTAAACAGGAAGATGACATTTCTGTGATGAGCAAGCCAGCCTCCACTTTGCTCAACAAGACACAGACCAGCCAGCTGCCATCACTGCAGGTGTGGGCTGCGTGTGAACCATGAGGAACAGAGACACATTGATGCTGTGATAAGGTTATTTTCCCAGAACCTGCCTATGTATTAAAAGCTGAGCCAGTAAAAATTACATAAAATTACAGGATAAGCTGTTAGAAATGGTTAATGAGTTTTTTTAACATAAAATTTGATAATATATCATCTTTTGTATCACTTGAGTATCTTTTAAAAATAAATACCTGACTTCTGGGCCTAAAAACGGCCTAGGTATGTTTCCCTCAGTCTGGCAAAGGAGAGACTGTGCACCATGGAGGACATAGAATGCTAAACCAGCACTATCCTCCAGAGGCAGGAGAGGGGATCCTCGAACTGTGGAGGGCAGGCAGCAGCCTTCCTGCTTCTGTGCAGCATGTGGATTCAGCACTTTGGGCACAGACCCCGTTGCCTCCACAGGTGGCCACAGGGCAGCCCCATGAGGGCTCCGAGGATTCCTCCAGGAAGGACTGTCAAATGCTCTGAAGCAAGTACATTACACCCTCCTCCAGCTCAGTGATAGGGCACAAGTCTGAGCAGGCGGTAGAAAACTAAATCAAGACGATCCAGAGATTACCTGCTCCTTGGGACAGAACCTGGAAACTCATAGAATAGGGAGCACCGAGTAACACAAACACACGCTCTGGACAGGGTAGACTAGGACAAAATGGCAGAAAGTAGAAATGCAGAATCCAAGGCTGCCCATAGGTCTGGTCCTTTAGTAGGCTGTTCCTGCTTTCCGCTATACAAGCTCAGACAGGAGTGAGAGAGACTCAATTACCCAACCCACTTCTCATCTACACCCTGAGGACTTGGCCCAGTGAAAACAATTTTCTTTTTCCAAGCCAGTCATGGTGACTCACACCCATAATCCCAGCACTCTGGGAGTGAGATTAGGAAGATTACTGTGAGTCTGAGACCAGTAATGTTGTGAGTTCCAGCCTAGAGTACACAAAGGGATCACCCCCCCAAAAAAAGTGTTCATTGGAAGAAACAAGAGCAAAGTATCTTTATAATAAAAACTACAATCATTTTATTTGAAAGAACAGACTCCCATGGGGTTACATATAAGTGCCCTGAGACTGAGGATGCAATCCCAACCTTGACACCACCAGCTCAGCCATCAACACAGCAGCTGCATCGGGGGAGGGTAAGAAAGCCCAGGTCTGGGGCTGGAGAGATGGCTCAGCAATTAAGAACTCTGGTTGTTCTTGAAGAAGACCCAGGTTCAAATCCCAGCACCCACATAGCAGCTAACTGTCTGTAACTCCAGTCCCAGGGGATCCAATAGCCTCTTCTGACAAATGTGGGCATTGACCAAAACGGGTGCACTTACCTACATGCAGGCAATACACACATACAAATAAAATAAAATTCATAAATAAAATGTAAAAAAAAGAAAGCCCAGGCCTTCGGGGTGGGATTGGAAAACAGCTGATGTACAAAGGGAGACCTGTGGCCAGGGGAAGCCATCAGCAGTTGTGAGGGGACAATGGACTTGAAACCAGTGTCTGCAGAAGAGTCAGTAATCCTAAAAGTAATTTTTAGTATCATAAACACATAGACACTTTGTCCCAGTTATTGGTGCACAATTTTAAAAATAGATACATTTTTTAAGCTGGGTATGGTGGCACAGACCTTTAATCCCAGCACTCAGGAGGCAGAGGCAGGTGAATCCCTATGAGTTCAGGG